GAAATTAATTGAAGCTTCAATAAGAAGCTTTTTAGATGAGCAAAACAATTTGTTGTTATTGGAGGACAAACATGGAACAGCAAGGATACCAAGAAATGCGCCACACAAAATAATACAACAACGTTGTGAAGACAAAGCGAAGAAAAGTGGATAAATAGATTTTAAAAGAGATTAGGAGAGCAGTGCAATAAGATACACTCAGAACAAAACATTCATTACTTTTCAGCAGGCGAAAACAGAAGGAAGCTACAGCATGACCACCACCGGTTTCCATTCTGTGCCGTCTCAACCGACTGAGTTGCGTGATCTCTCGGACCCCACTCAAGGAGTTGTGATGAACCAACAGACATTAACCCCATACAACCATCCTTCATCCCACGGTACCACCTGATACACTGACCATAACTCCACTTCCTCCATCAAATCCCAAGGTTAGCAAATAATGAACAGTGTGGAAAGTGTTGGGACGAGCTGCATAACACATGTCCAAGCCACCGAAGCCGGTCTTTCCACATGACTTCGCTTATTGAGCGATGATCTCCATCATGCCCACACACGGTGTTGTACCGGATACGAGCAGCCCTACGGAGACAACGATGACCAAACAAAGAGTCGCCGCACATCCTCAGCTCGGAGAAACCAAGTATCACAGAGATAGAGCAGAACTGCTAGCACCAAAGCTTTGCAAACCCAAACTTTTACGGCCAGACTAACGTCGCGACGGCTCCAAAGGTGGCCCACATTGATGTATGCCACTCCGGCTTTCGATATGCGGTAGGAAATTTCGTCACTCATACAACTACCCAGATAGATGAACTTTTCGATAGCTCTCAACGGTTCACCACCAAGGGCGAGCGCAAGCACAGGCTCCTGCCAATCTTGCAAAAGTACTTCGCGCTTCGATGGTGTAAAGCACACACTTACGAACACTAATCTCCAACTGATTAAGTGCGACTTGAACAGTTTTTATGTTATCGAACAGTGGACGATATCATCCGCATATTCAAGGTTGAATAGCCGTTCTCCCGGTGTAGTAGGTCTACACCACATCACGCATCTCCTTCAGAGCTGTCTCAAGATCATCATCGATGGCAAGGTTAGAGAGGAATGGAGAAATTGGGCAACCCTGCTTAATCCCACTGGTGGTTTCGAACAATGGAGACAGGTGGTTGTATGCCTTCACTCTACCTGGTGTTATTATATAGGGATTTCAAGATGTTAAGAAATTTCCCAGGCACGTTCCTCTTCAGCAGAAAATTCCAGAGCATAACTCTGTCCAAAGACTGGAAGGAAGCTCTAATGTCAAGAAACAAAACGTTTGTTGGTCTGCAATACGTGTGGCGTTGTTCAAGCATCTGGCGGAGGGTAAACACATGATCAATGCATTCACGACCTGGACGAAACCCGGCTTGCTCCTCACGAAACATTTCCTTATATGTTTTGCAAAGTCTGCGAAGTATGGCAGCAGACAATATTTTCGACACAACTGGTAACAGACCAACACGTCGATGATTATCATATACTTTACGTAGACCCTCTTTAAAGATTGGCACATTGATGGCCTTATTCCAGAATGATGGAACACTTTCAGTCTGTCATACCTTCTCAAAGAATCCACTCAGTTCCCTGACTAGAGTCGTTCCTTCATTCTAAAAGACAACCGGAGGTAAATTGTCTGGGGTGGGTGCCTTGAGACATTTGAGAACTTGGATTTCTTTATGGACCCTCGCTTCGTTAGGTGAGTTAGTGTTAGCTGACCATGGAACACGATACACCGAAGCAGACAATGCTGGAGCCGTGGCCCAGCTAAGCTGCTTTTCAAAGTGCTCCGCCCAATGTTCCAGGTGTCTTTGAAAATTGCTTATTGGCGTACCATTTACGTCACAGAGACTCACGTGAACCATTGTACTCGGTGTTCACTGGAATCGTCTGACGGGCGTCCAGAAGTTGTAGGGAACTCGCAGGGAGCCAGCGTTTATAAGCAGGACGTTCTTACATGGCTCAAGCGGCTTAACACGCCATTTCCGTAGCGCCTCGCAAGTGCAGCCAATGCTCGCCCTACCTTTTCTGGAGGACCGGTAGATAGCCTTGAATCTAGCTTGGATTGGTATTTAGCTGCAATGTTAAGTCCAACTCTTTTGCTTGCATCGACCTGTTTGGGACAATGTTTTTAATGAACACCTAGATGTGATACCAGTCGAGCCAGCCAGTGGGTCTCCGGATGCTGGTAAGGTGAACTCCGAAGATTCACTACTGGGGCCAGGTGATGTCAATTTAACAGACGGACATGGATTCTGTATAGATGTCTCAGAGAAACAACATACATCCATGACTAGAGATCCCAGAGTTCTGGTGAGCAATGCTTGGTGTCCGAGTTGGGATGAAGTTCAGATATTGAAAGCTTGTATATGAAGTCGGTGACAGGGTCTTATGAGACTAAGAATGACACTTTGATGATGGTTTTGATCGTGGACAAAGGTTGCAGAGTGAGAGGTTTGGGGATGTGTAAGAGACGTAATGTTAGTATCAGGAGGTGAAAGCGAATGAGGAGACAGTTAAGGGGTATGAGTTTTGTGTACTACTGGAATGGTGCAGGTGGTTCACAATTCTCGACTGCCTACACCGTGGAAGGCCATTTTCTCCTAAGGTACCTGAAAGAGAAAAAGATTGTTGTGTTTGCAGAGCTCATGGGACATCTGCTTGATGCCGGTCACACACAGCTTATTGAATGTTTTTATTTTAAGACTCAGTTGTTGTAATGCTTGATAGAGAGAGGACCCATGCCTCCAGCACCGGGAGACCATGGGATATGATGGAATGTGTTATTTATGAGACTGGCCTTTTCAAACGCTCCAGTCGTTCCCATGGAGAAGGCAGCATCAGCGTGTGACTGCTGGCCATCCAAGGGAAACACCTTACTGGTGTTACATCCCATCCATCTTTTAGCAGCACGACTTTGCCCTCAGATCTCCATCGTAGTGTAGTAATTTGTACTAAGATGGTGACTGCTTTCCATCTTACCACTATGCAGCAGACGTTTCTACTATGATAGGACTTTTAGAGAACAAGCGTTACACCAGCATAGCTCGTTGGGTCATTGTGATAAGCAATTTCAACCACCGCTTCAAGGTAGCAGCTATTGATTGGGCTTGAGTGGCAGAAGGAGGATGCGAAGTAGCACAACGGCGATGGCTGTGTCGGAAGTTGGCGCCATCTTGAAATATGTTGTGATCTCCACTAACCTGCAAAAGACGATCAGCATTATCCCACCTGCGGCTAACTAATCCCCATTGGCCACACTAACGACTCTTCTCTGAACCTAGACGCCCAACCTGCTGATTCAAGTGCCCAGCTAGAACCACGATCAGAGCATAGCTAGAGATAACAAAGAGACATTGTTTCTCTTGCCAGTTACTTCTTACTCGAGGTGAACCTTCAAGTCTGACAGCACACAGACGACTGTTGATGGGAATCCAGTTGGGCGCTTAGCGCGATGCCGGTTGCAGATGCCACAGGGTCCCCGGATAAGTGCACATGAAACATTCTTTTCGAGTTGACAAATGCAGAAATAGTCGGAAGCACTTCACTGGGATCTCGTATGCTGGTCTCCAAGATGAAGCATACATCAATAACGAGACTTTCCAGAGTCCTAGACAAACTTGCCTGTTGTCCGATCTGCATCAAGGTGCAAACATTGAAACGTGGTCAGCTTAAACGGTACGCGTTGTTTCAGAATAGCTGTGTCAGATATCGCACTGGAAGACAGGTTTATGGAGGCAGATGTTCATCAACTCAACATGGTACAGACAGACCATAAGTGTAAGCAGTGGAGAGCAGCTGAGTGTAGTGTAGTGCAGTGAAGTGAAGAAGACAAGATAATAAAAAAATACAGTTCATGTGTGAAGACAACAAAAATAATATGACAACAGGAAACTGAATAATTAGTTATGTCGTTTGCGGTGCGGAAGGCTTGAATTTTTCTAGAAAAGTCGGGTGGATGTTTGGAAATCTTCATTGGATATTGCAATTTCATATTTTACGTCGAATGTAGTAGAATATATTTTAAAATAAACAAAACAATACAGTCAGTAACGTTTGTCTGTGATTCCTTTCTTCACTGTTACGACACGTCACAGCCACCTCTCAGTGAAATAATGAAGTATCCTTGTGCGGTGTCGGAAGCGAATACTCGATCTTCTTGAATTGCAAAACATGCCAGTTTCTCTTTCTGTAGACTGAATCCTACGGAACCAAGCGACTTTTTGCTTCTTCAATATTTTTAGAAGAATAGGCAATAGCATATCTTACATTGTGAAGTAAGATGACACAGAAGCATCAGGACAAACAATTTGTAACTGCTCGGCTGCAAACAGGACTTAGATTGGTATAATGTAGTTACTGTCTTGTAACTCTGGCACATGGAGCTGTTATCTCACAAATTGAAGACACGGGAATTGTAGTCAGAGAATCAAGGACGGGTTCAAACAGACATGTAAACTACTCAGACACAGACTGTTCATCTGAGTTAAACTCACAAGTGTGTGTATAATTTTCAGAAGTGACTTGATTAATAAGATTATCAATGAATGTATCTTCACCAACTTCTGTGGGAGTTATGGTTCATTACTTTAGGGAGTTGACTTTCAACCAGTGGGTCACGGGTTCGAACGCCTCTTCCCATGAACAGAAATCTCGGCAGCTAAGGAGTAGTATCATTACCCCATCACGTAATAGGCGTGGCTCAATGCCTACTGCATGAACGTGCACAAGGTTGCTGAGTGAAGTTTGACTCCATTTCCACTGACTTCACTTTGGAATTCTTGAACTGGAGTTTTGATTGCCCCAGTGACCTATTGACGACATTCAGGTTGGCATTATATAACATGACTGTTCTTTGGAAGGACGGTTATCCAAGCAAATTCATCAAAATATGTTTTTCGATTTCGCCATCAACCAAAAAGTCATCCTTGGAAACCAAAAAAAGGTTCGTCTTAACTTACGTGAAGAATATTTCCGCAATCGCAACCAGATCACCGAAACCTTTAAGAATCTTTGTAGCTTACAGGCCTGGCAAACCACTTTACTCTGTGTTACGCAGAACAAAAAACACAATGGCAAAGGAAGATAAACCAAACTTCAGAAACTTCCAAAAACATTATATCTGACAGAGTGGCCGCTGTTTTTGTATCCATCTACATGAACATCAACCACCAGTGAAACATCATGATATATCTTCGTGCATATCAATACATATAGACGATTAGAGACATGAATTCGACTGGGAGAATGTGGAGATCTTGAACAAAGGAAAGACGAAGGATATCAGAAATTTCAGGAGCTTGGTACTCATGTCAGTCAACGATCAACAGACATATGACACTGATACAATCTATCAACCAATCAAAAACACAACAGACAATGAGGTCAGAGTTCACGTCAGCAGGACAATCAATCAAATTACGTGTATAGACAAGGTTTTAGCAGAAACAAGTTAATCAGGACAAGATAAAAAGTCATTTGTGGAGAAATTCTCATAGCTCAATTTCTGGAAATTGAGGGGTCCTGTTGAAAATGAAAACTTCATGATTCAGTCATTTAACTCAAAGAACACAATATGACCAGAATAATTCTCCAGAGCAACAAATATCTTTCAACATTTCTGTCGAGGTATTACTAGAAGTGAATGAATTGTTATCGTCCTGTTTAAGGAATTGACCTGACGTCTTCCACTGAAATCAACACATTTTCATTTATAACAAGGACTGAATGAAATTCGTCTAACTGCAATCTTCTGTGCACAATGACAAGTCTTATCAATTAATGACGTGAATTTCAGCTTTTCTGAATATCATCCAAGTCATATTTATTAGTCTTTATGATAAGGAGTAATAAGATGTCCAGAATTTTAAAGAGGGTAACAAATGAGTACGTCTACACAACAGTGATTTCGAGTCAAGGGGACTGAGACCGGAGCTAATTGTGACCTTGATTCCCTTATAAATAAATCACACCAACAGTCAGTCAACCTTGAATTTATTTCAATGTAATACTATTCTAGCTTAAACTGAATGTCAGGGCAGTAGTACCAAAGCTCCACACGGATCAAAGTAATATACACAAATTAGTGGAGTAGACAGGATCAGTCGTTTTTAGTAGTCTCAATTTTTCTGAAAACAGGTTAAGGGATTAAGAAATTTTTAGTCTATCATTTTGAACATTTGAGATAGCTATAGCTTGGCAGACAAGTATTGATACTGGGAGGTGATTGAAGGTGAAATGAAAATTGGGACCACAGCCAGTAGTCGGACATCATAGCTTAGTTGGTTGAGCACCGGGTCGTAAACCCAGTGGTCTCTGGTTCGAATCCAGTCGCGGTCGCAGTCTTCATTTCACCTTCAATCATTCCCCAGTATTAAATTTTAGTCTGTCATATTTAGTGAGATCCCTCAGTCCCATAAAGAACAAAAACGGATTCCTTTTAAATATCCAATTGAAAAGCTGAAAAACTGTACACGGAACTGTTAGTAAGGTAGTATTTCGTATGCTGACGATGATATGGTATTCATGAAAGTAAGTCATTTACTGGGAAAACATCCACGTGTATCAAATTTACCCAATGAGTCACTAAAAAAAGGTAAAGTTGCGATTGAAGCTCAGGCGAAACCTACTGCAACCTAATCCAAAGCTGAATAACAATCAGAGACGTGATGCCCAAAATCAGTAATTTTATAACATCACGTGTTAGATGACTTGAGGATGTCCAATGGTGTCCGTCCAACTATTGCGGTTGAATTTTGTCGAAGACATTTTTAAGGACATCTATCACTCCTCATTTTTCGCTACACGGATTGACTTTGTCACAGGAGAAGAACAAGAGTACGCAAATGACACAGTCCGGTAAAATAAAGATACTGACTGGTTGAAGAATTTTCTGGACACCTTGAGTAGCAACTCGACAATATTTAGGATAAATTTCTCACCAACCAAATGTAAATTGTTTCTCTGGGACTGGTTTGCGTGGATACCTTTTCTGACGAAAGACAGTGTAGTGGTTGAGCTCATTGACCTATTCACTTACTTGGCAAGTCCAAACAGTCGTGATGGGTCAGTGGCCGACGGGATCTCCACACAGGTAAAAAGCGCTTGATTTGCTTTCGCGAAATTCCGGATTCTATCGCGCCGGTAAGACTCATGATTTTCTACTAACAGTCAAGTGTACTCTACGCTACAGTTTGCTCTGTCCTACTCGATGGCTATGAATCACGGTCATTAAACGTAGAGGACATGAGAGAACTTTAAGTGTTCAACCAGTGTTGCCTTCGCAGCATACCCCGCGCATAGTGGAAGAACCACATCAGGAACATAGAAGTAAAACGTCAAGTTTTAGCCAGAAGAGGAAGGTCAGTTGATGGGGTTGTGACTCTTCACTGACTCAGGTGGCTGAGAGATGTTTTACGTCACCATCCGTCTCGTTGTACAACGTTCGTTGAAGGAGATTTTGTTTGGGAAGAAGTTAAAGGTGGCCAAACTAGGACAGGGTATCAGTTCATGAAGTATTTGACTGTTGGTATGAGGAGTGTAAAAGAAGGCAGATTTCCACGTTGGGGTCCATGCGGTATCCAGAATCGAAGTTTGAAGACTCTAAATGATATGGTTTTGAACCAGTCTCAGTAGCGCAGTGGTGCATCCAAATATTATCTTCATCTGGAATATCATGCAGAATTTAGTTATTGTTTCAGTCCACCTTCTTCTCTCTTTTCGGTCTTCCGCTATTTTTCATAACTCCTTTCTTTGCTTCTCTGTCTTTTATCATGATGTGATGAAATGAGATGTGGCAACTTAGACTGTTACGCTATAATGTCCAATCGCATATTGATTCTGGTCAACTGACGATAGAAAATAGTCAAATCAGTCAGAAACAAAAGATTAGACGACAAAATTTATCTACTGCTCGAGGGAGGACAAACTATGTGAAAAGACATCTGTGCTAATATAGCTTCTTGGCATATCCCTAACAAAGTTCTTTGTGGCACCATCTTGTTTAAACAATGATGATATCAGAGCAAATTCTACCTTGCATGGTTAGAATTGTTGGTTAGTGATATAGGAGGACTAAACATAGAAGCAACAGATACAAGTAATCCTCACCACTCGATTTATAAGGCTTTTAAGTGTATGTTCACCATAAAAGATTAAGTCAAACGATACCTTGATTCAGTGAAGTCACAGTTGAGCAGACTTAGGTTACCATATACAAGCGGTCATATGGTTCACAAGTTTTTGATTACTGAATTTGATGTAGTTATTAGCCTAGTTCGGTAGAGGTAAAAAAAAACATTGAGCACATATTTCGCTAAGATAAACATTTTGAAATGACACGGAAATTGCCTTGAATAACTAATCACTTACCATTATTCAGTGGATCTCGAACAGTGTACATCATTTTACAGTCTTCTGGATCAAAAATAAGCGATTCACTGTACATTGTCTCAGTCATTTCAGTCAATAATTCCAAGGAAGAATTATTTGATAATTTAGAGTTATCACTAAGATTTGAGTAACTTGAGTGTTGACCATTACGATGTAATGATGATATACGATCCTCAGACTGTGATATACTAAAAGAAGGATTAATCTGTTGGACAATTTTTAATAGTTCCATAATATTTGATTTGCTGATTTTATTAATTTGTTGAGACCATGAAGTTGATCCTGTACCAGTAGAGATGACTACACCACTTGATTTTTGTTTTTCACTTTTCTTACCATCAACTGAAATATCATAGACGGATACACTAAAAAGTTGATGAGGGGAAACAAAGTAACACAAATAGATAATACAGGTTATTGTGTGCAAGAATTGATATGATGAATCAAGCTATGCTTAGTTAGAGATATGCAATTACTTGTAAGATACCATTATATCTGTCAGAAATTTGAGCTGGAAATGTCAGAATACCAATTACCTTAATAGTAATGATGGATAGTGGCTAGCAGTGGAGTCCAGGATGTGCGTTTCGTCCTATTTGGGACTCGTCAGCCGGATGTACCTGCTTACTTTAAGTCATAAGATTTCAGAGGATATGAAAACCTATGATGAACTTTCAAATTTGGCCCAACAAACGCATTCAGTGAGTGAATCATTCACAAGGTCGCTTGGTCAAAACTATGAATTTTCAGTTTGGGAGCTGGTAATATTACCCTATGGCCTAAGTTTGTACACTTCAGTTCCATCTATCAAGAGGCAAGGTAACAAGACAGGATACACGAATGAAAATGGTATAAACAAAAGCTCTAAAAAAACGACAAGACGAAGAGGAAAGGGCTAAAATCTGACATAACGATTAATATGAAAAGATGGGATGTGGATGAAGCTGCGCTGTTGTGATCAATTTCGAGTCCCATCACTCAAATATTAACTAATAATATCGAGCAAGAATAGACTTTTTAGGTTTTTTCTCTTGTCTTATTGTTACTTAATACCAGTTGCTGAGTTGTGTAAAAGATTAAAATATTTGAGGAGTGGATCTTTGAGTTACTATCCGACTGTTCAATATCCAATCAGCAAACAACCGTTTTTGTTGTTGGGTTGAAGCAAATCAACAATTGCCCATGGATGACATTAAATTATGAGCATGCTTAACTGCGAAATGAATGAAGTTTAAAAAAGTGGATGGTTAGACCAAAAACTCAGGGGTTGAAGAGAAGTAACATACTTGTCATTACACCCGCAGCTGGTCGTTGGTTCGATTTCGTACCGAGGTGTGGGTGTAAACTGTTGAGTAGTAGCTTACTTGCTCTCTGGTTTCCTAGGTGTCATTAGCCGGTGACTAAAGTTCTCATCAAAGCAACTCAATAAAATCATATTCACTATCTTCTTTGTTTTCATGATAATGAAGATAATAGAAATTTAATGGGTGATTAAATATTTTTATGTTGAAGATTGGTTGAAATACCAACCACCAGCAGTAGTTGTCACATACGAAAAAAACAGTTAAAGTTAGATGCAACACTGAATTCGATCAGTGAGTGAGGAAATAGATGGGTAATAAGACTGTGATGCACAGAACTGTTTGATGAAATGAAGACCCAAGTTCATGGACCTGAGTTAAATTTATACGAACAGCCAACAAGAAAGCACTTCTATTTAGCTGTTGGTGCTTCTTTTGCGATTGACTGTTTGACATTTAATTTAATTTCCGTCCATGAAAAATAGGATATGTTTATACGTAAACTGGATATGAAAACATCAGTCACATAATTCGCAAATCCCAACTCCTACTATACAACTGCAGCAACTAATATTCAGCGCATAATTACATTATAATATTATTTCTCCCCTGGGTTCCAAGTGGAATATACGCCTTCAGTAGCACGTCGACATTCCACTCTCTTCTCTCCAGTCTTTTCAACCTGGCTCCATCACTGCCCACAAGCTCTCTTTTCTTCTTCACACTATCTCCTTCATCTCACCCTCGCCTCAGACGCCCAACTCGTCGTTTCCCATTCGACTTCCACTCGACGGCCTGGCCTAGCGCGTGATGTACCCAAATGGTCCAATTCATTCCATCTCCACATTCTTCTCCACATTTGTTGGGTGATAGGTTACTGGTTGCTTCGTTGCCAGCCACCCACACTTCCTTCTTGCTTATTCTGACCATCTGATCTTCATTGTCAGTCTCGAGTGAGCGTAGGTGGCAGCTGTTCATGTATGTATGCAGTTTGTTGGAAATGCTTTTCATAACGTGCCAACTCTCTGAAACACCACATACAAGTACTGACTTACTTGACATTAGTGTGGAAAATTTAGATCTTGTTCTTCATGCTAAGTGGAGTGCAGTACAGTACAGTACAGTACAGTACAGTAGATCTCCCCACACTGATTTCAGGTTAATCAAGGCCTGTCTCGCTATCTTTCCGATCATGGCTTTGACATCCTCATCTGTGCCAACGCCGTCACCGCCACCTGTAGTTGAAACGATGCTGCCTAGGTGTCAGGTAGGTGAAACAGACAACTTCCTTCAGATTTCTCCCGTTCATGGTGATTACTGTTGTTCTTCTTGTTGTTGCTGTTGGTTGGGTATCTTCATCACCTCTGTCTTCTATACACTCACCTGAAGGAAGTCCCGTCTTCCTTCGCTGCCTCACCTCACCTCACCTCTCCTCACCTCTTCTGCTAACTTGCTAGTTTTCGACTGTAGATCTTCGAGTTTGTGCAACAAGACATTAGACATAAATCATCATCGGCGGCAAAATTCAAATCTCCTTCTGGGGTCTTTTCATCCGTCAAGTCAGCCTACGCCCATCTTCTCACAGCTCCTCACAGTTGTCTGTTGCATGATCCACTCCAGTCCAGTCGACGACAATCAGCAAGATCATCGGTGATGATAGTAGGCGGCAACCTTGTCTTACTCCTGTCTTCACTTCAAACGCATCACTGAGCTTTTCATTTTGAATCACTTGGCCTTGGCATGTAGCATCATATAGCATAGCAGATAGCTGTTGAATGAGGTTGATAAAGGTTTGTGGTACTGAAACCGTAGTGTTGATTCAGCTACCTGCCAAATTACTTGTCGATCGACGTTGTCGAAGGCCTTTTCAAAGTCGATGAAGCTGAGGTAGAGGGTTGACTGGCATTCAAGGGAACAGTTAATAAGAAAAGTGCTTTTGAGGTAGTATTCATCACGGTCTGACATCAATAGGATAAAACCATTGGGAACCTGGGAGAATCAGACAGCTGTTTCGTCCTAGTATGGGACTTCTCAGCAGTATATACCCACGAACTGACTAGATATCTCACTAAAAACCATCAGGTTTCACGAGGAACGCGTTAACCATCCAGTCACTGGGTCAAAGTAGAGCGGTTCTGTTTCCAACTTCAGTCATTTCGCGATAAAGCACGACCATCACCCAAGATCTTCAGTTGGTATCCGCTTCCGATACTCACCGCCTTCGATAAGTCCTCTTCAGTCGGCACAAAATCACTCATATGACGATGATGAGTAAAAAAAAAAGGTAAAGCAGAGAATCAGTTGAGTATTATACAGAGTTTTCTTCGTGTATTTGTTACATAAGATTGCTAGTTACAGTTAGGCACTGCTTTGTGCGAAGTAGCGCTTACATCAGGTAAATTTAGGTGGACACGACTTAAAATGCTGGTCAAATTTCGTTTTGAAAATAAAGCGACACAACTATGCGCATCGTAGAACGAACATGGGGAGTGAAAAAACTAACCAAATAACTAACCATGCACTTAAAGACTCCCCAGCAAATACCTCATTCAATGCGAAAACAGGTAATACAGTTGTAGTCATATCAGCTGGAGAATACGAAGAAGGAAAAAGCTGACAAGCTGATAAATCCAACGAGTCATTGGACACTCCAATTTCATATGAATCTTGATTAATTGGTTTGTTTTTATCTAACGGTTGCACTTTCAACTGTTCACTTTTGGAATGTGTTAAAGTGACCCGTATACGCTGGCGCCGAAGCCATCTGAAACAAGTTGAAATAAAGTATTAACACCCAAACAATAACTAATAATAAAGTAAGGGATAGTAAAAAGCATTTGTAGCGCTTTCGAATAAGTTCAACTGCAACGCATAGGCTTTGATAGGAGAGAAGTTAAATTAATTCAGAAAAACATCTACTGTACATTCATCGTGGTCAGTAGCAGTAGAATCCAGGACGCATGTTTCGTTCTATCTGGGACTCGTCAACTAGATGTACCTGCACCCCAGTGAACAATGTCGTTCTCGCTGAGGCTGGAACCAAGTATCCATTGCTTCAAACCTCAAGACGTTATCCACTAGGTCACTGGATCACAATAGCCACTTTTTATGCAACGAGTACCAGTTATTGTTAATTGGTACGTGTAGTTTTCCCTTGCTATACAGTGTGAACAATATCGCTCATAGGGGCGCAGGTAAATAAGACGAAACCTGCGTCCTGGATTCCACTGCTGGTCACTTAGATGAATATCGCATCATGTATATCCAGCAGAGTCGAGGCATTCGCTAAAGCCCATCTATGAACAGAGGTTGACCTATTCGGCTCTGTATACCAATGGGAAATTACTAGTATCAATAAACAACATCTGTTGTACATTTTGATCACTTGAAATATGATAAGGCATTGACTGTTGGCGAACTTTTGATTTGTTTTTATAGAGCCAATTTGCTGTAGATCTTTAGCAGATGCATCTGTTAGTCTTAGCCTTGATAAGATCCAATTCGCCTTCTGCTTAGTCGACTGAGTGAGGTTCTATTTATGCAGCACCAACCAGTCCAGCATCGAATTTGAACGCAGTCTTCATAACTTGAAACACTATTTAACAACTAGTAAGAATCGAGTGGTGGATTAAACAGATGTTTTCGATTTGTTTTATGAGTTTTCATTGACATGCACAAACTACCCTTTAAATGACCAACCTGAGGACAATAGATTTTCATGATCAGTATGCTACGCTACACTTTGACTAAAGTTTATGCCATAATTGAGACTCATTACCTCTCTTTTGCCTCTTTAAATGTGCGTCTTGCTTCTCTTCTTACCCCTACAGAATTTTGCATAACTACTACTCTTTTGATGAACTTTTACTTCTTTAACCATTTCTTTAAAGTCAATTAACTTACAGAGTTGTTAAACCTGTATCATTGAAGAGACGTCAACCACTAAGAAGTTCATGCACAATCGGTTTCCCGGACTGGTGGAGACTGGCGGTCAACTTAAGGGAGTTGGAAAGCTCTAATTCCAAACCAATGGTGCACATGGCCTAAAGGTTCCAGATAGAATGAATGGCGCATAAACCCAGTTCCGTCACCAGTAACTACACGAACGCACCTCCTGCTGATGTTCCACATCGTCTTGTGGATAAGACCTTAAGCCAAAGGCTCGGAGGGTGCTCCCATAAAACAACCAACTGCTTCCATCTGCGCCCTCGAGCAGTATCTACGCCTTCACATAAAATATGAATTTACAATATACAATGAAGATTTTGAAGCGCTCACCCAACTTTTCTACAAATATTCAGCCCCTCCACTCCGCAAACGATATAACTAATTATTCAGTTTCCTGTTGTCATATTATTTTTGTTGTCTTCACACATGAACTGTATTTTTTTATTATCTTGTCTTCTTCACTTCACTGCACTACACTACACTACACTCAGCTGCTCTCCACTGCTTACACTTATGGTCTGTCTGTACCATGTTGAGTTGATGAACATCTGCCTCCATAAACCTGTCTTCCAGTGTGATATCTGACACAGCTATTCTGAAACAACGCGTACCGTTTAAGCTGACCACGTTTCAATGTTTGCACCTTGATGCAGATCGGACAACAGACAAGTTTGTCTAGGACTCTGGAAAGTCTCGTTATTGATGTATGCTTCATCTTGGAGACCAGCATACGAGATCCCAGTGAAGTGCTTCCGACTAGTTCTGCATTTGTCAACTCGAAAAGAATGTTTCATGTGCACTTATCCGGGGACCCTGTGGCATCTGCAACCGGCATCGCGCTAAGCGCCCAACTGGATTCCCATCAACAGTCGTCTGTGTGCTGTCAGACTTGAAGGTTCACCTCGAGTAAGAAGTAACTGGCAAGAGAAACAATGTCTCTTTGTTATCTCTAGCTATGCTCTGATCGTGGTTCTAGCTGGGCACTTGAATCAGCAGGTTGGGCGTCTAGGTTCAGAGAAGAGTCGTTAGTGTGGCCAATGGGGATTAGTTAGCCGCAGGTGGGATAATGCTGATCGTCTTTTGCAGGTTAGTGGAGATCACAACATATTTCAAGATGGCGCCAACTTCCGACACAGCCATCGCCGTTGTGCTACTTCGCATCCTCCTTCTGCCACTCAAGCCCAATCAATAGCTGCTACCTTGAAGCGGTGGTTGAAATCGCTTATCACAATGACCCAACGAGCTATGCTGGTGTAACGCTTGTTCTCTAAAAGTCCTATCATAGTAGAAACGTCTGCTGCATAGTGGTAAGATGGAAAGCAGTCACCATCTTAGTACAAATTACTACACTACGATGGAGATCTGAGGGCAAAGTCGTGCTGCTAAAAGATGGATGGGATGTAACACCAGTAAGGTGTTTCCCTTGGATGGCCAGCAGTCACACGCTGATGCTGCCTTCTCCATGGGAACGACTGGAGCGTTTGAAAAGGCCAGTCTCATAAATAACACATTCCATCATATCCCATGGTCTCCCGGTGCTGGAGGCATGGGTCCTCTCTCTATCAAGCATTACAACAACTGAGTCTTAAAATAAAAACATTCAATAAGCTGTGTGTGACCGGCATCAAGCAGATGTCCCATGAGCTCTGCAAACACAACAATCTTTTTCTCTTTCAGGTACCTTAGGAGAAAATGGCCTTCCACGGTGTAGGCAGTCGAGAATTGTGAACCACCTGCACCATTCCAGTAGTACACAAAACTCATACCCCTTAACTGTCTCCTCATTCGCTTTCACCTCCTGATACTAACATTACGTCTCTTACACATCCCCAAACCTCTCACTCTGCAACCTTTGTCCACGATCAAAACCATCATCAAAGTGTCATTCTTAGTCTCATAAGACCCTGTCACCGACTTCATATACAAGCTTTCAATATCTGAACTTCATCCCAACTCGGACACCAAGCATTGCTCACCAGAACTCTGGGATCTCTAGTCATGGATGTATGTTGTTTCTCTGAGACATCTATACAGAATCCATGTCCGTCTGTTAAATTGACATCACCTGGCCCCAGTAGTGAATCTTCGGAGTTCACCTTACCAGCATCCGGAGACCCACTGGCTGGCTCGACTGGTATCACATCTAGGTCTGGCTAACATGAAGCCTCTTTCGATTTGATCTAACTTATCCTGGCGTGGCACGTCAAGTTAGACAGTGGGCTCGGCATGCGTAGTACATGTCCAAGTCATTTCAGTCGACTTAGGTTCACACCTTTAATCGACTTGCCTATCTGTCTAGTACCCTTCACCTGACCTAAACATTGCTCACAGGATGATATCACTAAACGCGAGCAATGTTACAAAGACGTCTGTGATTAAGACTTAGCAATCGCTTCGTGTCTTCTACTTTTTTGCTGCATATCAACGTTTCTTAGTAAGAAATAAACCTGTTGTCGCTGACTAATTAATGACTCGGACGGATTATAATGCTCAAGGGTTGGTTTTTGAGTCATTATTTGACTGTTAAATAATATCGTACAGTATCAATATTATCTAATTCAAATCATGTCATTGTAGCTTATTCACAACTTTAGTAATTCGAATATGCAGTGAATATTCATACAATAAACTTGGTCAAACAGAAATGAATCAATTTATCTGAATAACATTAATGAAAAAGACACGTGAAAACTTTTTACAAAGCATATAATGCATGTTTTAAATATCTGATTGCTAAGCATTTCAACTACATTAATTTATATTGTAGAAGACAAGGAAAAAAAGTAACATACTACTAACACACTACAACATAGAATGTTGACATTGTTTACTGGATACAGATAATTAGGATTCAGTATGAAATAGATTGAACTTACCGAAAATGATTTGATAGAAGGAGATCAACAGCTGTTGAAACATTTAAACTACACCATTTCGGTAGACATAAAAATCCATGAGAGCTGAATAGAAAATTGAATATGTATAGTTTTAGGGAGAGAGAAGAAGAAAAAAGCTGGTAAAATATGAAAATAACAATGATAATAGAGTTGGTCACGAGAAGAAAAAAAGAAACTCACGATAAGAATTACAATAATTTTTACAAAACAAATGTACAGACAAAGTGAGGATGACTTGATAATAAGACTAGGGTTAGCAATGTTTTGGACTCTTATAGATTCAAGATTGAGCATCCTCATGAAGGCAAGATTGTAACGCTAGAAAATTAAGTGAGGAGACAACTTTAGACACTCTTGGAAAGAAAGTTACCCAATGAAGATTAACTTGGAGCAAACGATAATAATCATAACTTTTTAGAACAATTTGTCATTAAAAGAGAAGTAAAACTAGAGCAGTGTTAGATTAAAATTTCACTTTAGACTCTACCAGAAATGTCACATGGTGAAACAGTAGCATTTACTGGATAACGTTTCGGACACAATTTATTGTTCATATTCATATCAGGTAGCTCCACAACTTCGAGACAGAGTTTGTATAGTCCTAATTTTCTCTCCTTCTTTGTGACAGATGATAAGGGTAGTAGAATTTTCCATACATCTGGGACAGGTGCAGAATCATTCCTATAACTGCATGTATATGGTGTTGATCCGATAAACAAAGATTCGGTTACCAATCTCTTCCTCCACGTAACTAAGTTAGTTTTCGAATACCGTCGCTCTAGCACACCCTACTGTGTGATTATGTGTAATTGCATGCAGAGATATAGCCGAACTTTTCTCTAAATTTCTTATCTTATTAGGATCAGCTAATCTTGATTTAGCCAATTTTTTTTGAAGTGAAATAAAATCTGGTCAGCGGCCGGACCTCGTAGCTCAGTTGGTAGAGCACAGATCCAGAAATCTGATGGTCGCTGGTTCGGATCCGGCCGTGGAACAAATTTTCACTTCACCTCCAGTCATCACCCAGTATGAATACAAGTCCCCAAACCATGGCAGATAGTCAAAATGGTAATTTTTGTGCTGTATTATTCTAACTGATTCTGGTCGACTACCTTGACCTATGTATTTGATCTTGCAATCATTACATGGGATTTGATGAAATCAATTATTTCGTGTAATTGGATCAAGAAGATTTTTTAACCTACAAAGCTTGTTTCTAAGCGAGTTTGGTAGTTTAAATGCCATTTTAATCCCAGCTAAATCAAGATTAGTTGATCCTAATAAGATAAGAAATTTAAAGAAAAGTTCGGCTATATCTCTGCATGCAATTACACATAATCACACAGTAGGGTGTGCTAGAGCGACGGTATTCGAAAACTAACTTAGTTACGTGGAGGAAGAGATTGGTAACCGAATCTTTGTTTATCGGATCAACACCATATACATGCAGTTATAGGAATGATTCTGCACCTGTCCCAGATGTATGGAAAATTCTACTACCCTTATCATCTGTCACAAAGAAGGAGAGAAAATTAGGACTATACAAACTCTGTCTCGAAGTTGTGGAGCTACCTGATATGAATATGAACAATAAATTGTGTCCGAAACGTTATCCAGTAAATGCTACTGTTTCACCATGTGACATTTCTAATAAACCAACTGAAATGGAAGAACAATTTATCCTTTTTATCAATTAGGCATCAAGAAGACAAATATTATCTAGGTTTCATGCTTGTTAGCCTTCGTCAGTAAGGCATATGTCTGCAACATGAAGGGGACTGAAGTTTATCTGAGATTTGAGCCCGCATCAATGAATATCTCAGTCAGAAACATTACCACTGAGGTATTCGGGTCACGACTGATCTCCTGTTCGATTGGGTTATGTATATTAGTTGGTCATTATACTGGAGAGCGACCAATTTCAGTTTATCTAGTCCTAATAGTATGGAGTTCTCAGCATGTAATATTCGCTTCTTGTACAATATTTCAAAGTGGAATAATTATAGGATCTAACTAGCTCTAATAATAACAGTATTGTAAGCGAATACATGTAGTAACCAGAGGTTGCTAAGTTACCATCAAGTCTGTAGATATGTTGTCATAGGAAGACAGAAAGGATTGAATAGTGTGAGCAAAATTTGGTGGTTCATTTTGCCAGCAGGAAAACCTTCAGTACTAAGTAGTTACAAAAGAATCTTTCTGGCAAGATAGAGACATTGGGGAACAATACAAAATACACAAGTAAAAGTACACCTTATAAAATATATATCACGCATATCATCCATTGTTGCAAGCTTAAGGGCCAAATGACACCTACTGTGGTTTCTTACCTTAGTTTTATTGCTGGCTTGTAAACTAATTAGTTGGAAACACTTTAAAAATGCATAGGAGTACATAATATGACTTAAAGACATAGATAAATGTTTTAAAACAAGTTCAGAGGAAAAATCCGATGTAACATATTCCGTGGAAATTTTTTAGTTTCTCAAGGTTTAAGCAAGCCGTTAGCAATCTAGCTAGTATATTTTATAATTTTTCCCTTTGGTTCCTAGTGGAATATACGCCTTCAGTAGCACGTCGACATTCCACTCTCTTCTCTCCAGTCTTTTCAACCTGGCTCCATCACTGCCCACAAGCTCTCTTTTCTTCTTCACACTATCTCCTTCATCTCACCCTCGCCTCAGACGCCCAACTCGTCGTTTCCCATTCGACTTCCACTCGACGGCCTGGCCTAGCGCGTGATGTACCCAAATGGTTCAATCCATTCCATCTCCACATTCTTCTCCACATTTGTTGGGTGATAGGTTACTGGTTGCTTCGTTGCCAGCCACCCACACTTCCTTCTTGCTTATTCTGACCATCTGATCTTCATTGTCAGTCTCGAGTGAGCGTAAGTGGCAGCTGTTCATGTATGTATGCAGTTTGTTGGAAATGCTTTTCATAACGTGCCAACTCTCTGAAACATCACATACAAGTACTGACTTACTTGACATTAGTGTGGAAAATCTAGATCTTGTTCTTCATGCTAAGTGGAGTGGAGTGGAGTGCAGTACAGTACAGTAGATCTCCCCACACTGATTTCAGGTTAATCAAGGCCTGTCTCGCTATCTTTCCGATCATGGCTTTGACATCCTCATCTGTGCCAACGCCGTCACCGCCACCTGTAGTTGAAACGATGCTGCCTAGATGTCAGGTAGGTGAAACAGACAACTTCCTTCAGATTTCTCCCGTTCATGGTGATTACTGTTGTTCTTCTTGTTGTTGCTGTTGGTTGGGTATCTTCATCACCTCTGTCTTCTATACACTCACCTGAAGGAAGTCCCGTCTTCCTTCGCTGCCTCACCTCACCTCACCTCTCCTCACCTCTTCTGCTAACTTGCTAGTTTTCGACTGTAGATCTTCGAGTGTGTGCAACAAGACATTAGACATAAATCATCATCGGCGGCAAAATTCAAATCTCCTTCTGGGGTCTTTTCATCCGTCAAGTCAGCCTACGCCCATCTTCTCACAGCTCCTCCCAGTTGTCTGTTGCATGATCCACTCCAGTCCAGTCGACCACAATCAGCAAGATCATCGGTGATGATAGTAGGCGGCAACCTTGTCTTACTCCTGTCTTCACTTCAAACGCATCACTGAGCTTTTCATTGTGAATCACTTGGCCATGGCATGTAGCATCATATAGCATAGCAGATAGCTGTTGAATGAGGTTGATAAAGGTTTGTGGTACTGAAACCGTAGTGTTGATTCAGCTACCTGCCAAATTACTTGTCGATCGACGTTGTCGAAGGCCTTTTCAAAGTCGATGAAGCTGAGGTAGAGGGTTGACTGGCATTCTGTGCTCTGTTCTATGATGATGCATAGCGTTTTGTTGGTATTAAATCCGCACATAATTTGTTTTTCCTGAAGCTGGCCAGCCTGTTTCAGTCGTAATTTTGAATCCAGTGCATTGTTTAGTTTCTCCAGGATCATGCGGCTAAATATTTTGCGTGGGGTGGACAGGAGCATGATCCCGTTCCAGTTTATGCAAAAACTTAGGTCACCCGTCTTTAGGAGTTTGACAAGGTAGTCCTTCTTCCAATCGGCAGATACTTTACCTTGCTTTCTTCGGAATCTTCTAGAATAGTGATGTATGTCTGCTGATGTCTCTATGTATGTTTTCAGTGCTTCTGGAGGAATTCTATCTGGTCCTGCTGCTTTCGTGGCTTTCAGTAACTTCATGGCATTATGACGTTGGCATAACAACAAAAAATACAGCTTTCCCCTCTCACGAGTTTGAATAAGGCAAGATGAACAATAGTAGCAGAATTAGAACGTGTGTTTCGTCGACTTTCCTTAGCTGCTTTATAAACTATAGAATAGAATGTCTATGATGAAAAATATGTTATACAACGCACTTGTTAAGACTACTCAAAGGCTAACTATCATACACAGTGATAGAATGAACAGTCGAGAGAAGATCGGGGGAAAATGTAGATACTTATGTATATATATATATATATATATATATATATATATATATATATATATATATATGCATATAATTGGGACGGGGTTGTGCACAATGTTCTTTTAAAATTAGTAAAAAGAACGTTATGGTTAGGTGAACGTAGAAAAAGGTCAATAGGTCTCCATTAATCACTTCTGAGAAATAAGATGGATACAATCCAGAAAATGAGAGTAGGTTTTGAAATAGATCTAAAAATAATGTGAGAAAGAAATACTAGGTCATGGGTCATGAAATCTTGTACTTACAAATTTAGGAGATTGAGATGCGGGATATGTTCAGAAATGAGGACAAGAACCCTGCTCTCTGCTCTTCCGATGTATGTGCTTTGGGACGCACATGTGAATTGGTAGATACAGTTGGAGGTAACAAGACTTGGGAACTTGCCCATCTTGGACTATCTTAATAAGCATTTAGTCTGATACATACAGACTAAGTTGGTGGCTGGATAGGTTATTCTTATTGCAGTACTCAGTCTATAGGTTGTAAAACAGCTATGGAGAATCCACGAAATACATGCATGCTGACTCTGCTAGTTGCTTTATCCAAACAAGAATAA